ACCCCGAGGTATTTGGAACTGTCTGCTTCTTCTAGCTGATAGCCATTAATCTCGAGAGGCGCCCCCTCTCCTGGTCAGGGATGCAACTTGGAAACGGCTTGGTCTCCCCAGCGTTTATGGATAAACCGACGGATTTAGCTACCTCATTCACCCTGACACCACATATTGTAGATCGTCAAAGCTTGAAGCTGATACAGCGATAATATCGGCGTAATCGAGATCAGTCAGCCGGCAGCCGGGTGAAGACTCAAGACCGTCAATTTCGTGTAGGGCTTTCTCGAGAATCCAATCAATGTCGTGGCTTAATAGAATGGACGACAGGATACAAACTTGTCAAAGGCTAGACCGAATATCGGTTGGCAGAGATTGTTATGGCCTAAAACTTGCGCGGTGGTTGGGCGGTAGTAGGTGTTGATCATGACGATGATTTTAGGCAGAATTTCATACCCAATCCCGAAGTGTGGAACATCTGGGGCTCGAACTCGCGACCTCTTAGTTAGTAGTCCAACGCCTCTAACCACTGAGCCACGGGCCGGCGCACTATCTAGTTCCATTATTCGCCACGGGTTTACTATGAATGAAACCGGACGTAGCGGCCTGGTTAGGCCTCGTTCTAGAGTCACGTACGACCGGGAATCGCCTGAGAACGGCAACTGCGAAGACCTTCGCAGCGACATCAATGAGGCTTACACTGCGGTAGTTCTCGCATCTTGTCTTATCACCCTTCCTAAAGGCACAAGGATGCCCGAGTCCTGGTCATCAGGAACGACCCCATTCTCTCTGCGCTTGTTCAATCACCCCATGGAGGCAGGGCGCCAGAATGTCGACGCAAGACGTGTGGGTTTCAGCCTGAATACCGTCCTCTCCGGGGTCTTGTTGCGCAGCCTTTGTATTGCATCAGTGACTTCCTCAGAAGGGGGATCGCGTGACATTGTACAAGCTGGAGAGGGACAAAGCTACGCCTCAGAGAGGGCCTTGGGTTCGATACGTTGCTCATTTAAGTTGCTTAAAGTGCTCGCGCCAGCGAATCATCAACAATCGGGTCAGGTGGCTGGCACGGCTGGACCCGCACCTGGACGTGCCACCACATCCCCTGGGCCACAACATACACTTGACCAGGATTTTTCACCACCAGCAGCAAGAACACCCCAACAGGTGTCAGAAGGACTAGAATGGCTGGGCAGCCATGCCCACTACCAGCGGGAGCACAAGCGCATCTACCGGCAGGGAACAAGGTATCAGGAAATTGCCAGCGCATACCAGCCTGCGAGGGCCATGGCTTGCTTATACTGGCATAGCGCACGCTTTCAGACCTTTTGACCTCAGATAGCATCATAAGATTGGAGACGTCAGGTGTCTGACGTGTTAGCGTATACAACTGCGGACCTGTGCATGGGAAGTTTGTCTTGCAATTTGTTTTGATTAGCAAAAAAGCTGCTGAAAGTCATTGTTTACTTGAGGAATTTATGCTGAATATATTTTCTCTGAAAGAACATACTAGAAATACCTTGAGCGCTTTAAAATGGTGTTCTTCAACGTTCAAGACAGCTGGAAAATTTAGGGTGAAGAATTGGAAACGGTAGTCGATCACGACCCATGTCAAAGGCCTAAAGAAATGTCATAAGTACTTATTGACAGATCCACTATTGGCAAACGTTTGCATCCATAGGAAATAGTACGAAAACAAGGAATTTGGATGCTGCATAAATTGACTGAAAGGCAACACGAAAAGCATAAAACCACGTGTGAAATGTTGCTTTGAAGACACTTATTTTTCGCATCCAATCGTTGTTGGTGACGGAAAATGGACCTGTCAAGATAATCCCAGACGATGCCTGGTCAATTATCAACATCAACGTCAAAGCATCATGTGGTTTACTGTTAGTTGTTGCAACGGTCTGAACCTTTTACTGCCAAGCGATATCAACAATAATTAGCCGAGCCGAGTTGAGTGCCGAATACCAAAAGACCAGGATATGATGGAAGACATGATAAGGTGATTTTACAACATGATAACGCTAGGCCTCATGTTGCACATTTGGCCGATGCAACATGGTCTTGTTTATTAGCGTTTACTTGTCATTAAAAAGTCATAAACCGGCTCGATCAATAGATTACTCAAAAGATCAACAGCGGAATCCATTTGTTACTGGAAAGATAGGAACAGATTATAGCCGCCAACGGAAAATACTTTGAATATGGTATAATGCATAGTTATTATATAAATAAATGTCGTTTTCTTTCTTAAAACGATGGCGCGAATTAATTCTCTTTCCCGGTAGATGGAACAGGTGTCCTCGCCGAACAGCTTTTTAAGAGAGGCTCAACCTCTGATAATGTTGTTACTTAGAAGGTTCATATTTCTGTAACACCTAGACCTCTCTCCTATAAATCCTCTGGCCTCACTTAGCTGAATTTCGTCGTTGCAAAAGAACATTTTTCCTACAAAAGCGCCTTTTGTATCCTTTCAGTGGCCTGGGGACCGTAGTTGCTTAAGATGTGTGTATTTTTACAATTCCGTGCTTGGCTAAATTTCACCAGATTTCTCCCGAAGGACTGTGCGAAAATTGGCTTAACTTACTCAGCTAGTAGGGAATTTTGTCTGGCAGCATTTATGGATGATTTGTCGACTCCTGCATTTTCACAAGTTATCTTAGGTATTATCGCCAAATCAAATTTTATCATCTCTATTAAATCACTATGAAGAGCCCTCCCAAGGTACTGCAGTGGATCAAGATCACAATATGTGTCTTAATAGCAGCATGGATAAGCTTGATGATAGGCAGCTGAGGGGAATACTTTAGCAAACCTTTAGCAAGCTTCCATGCTTGCAAGTCCTTTTAAAAGCCAAGTACACTCAAGCTCGCTAGTGATGCTCCCGGGGTATACGATGCGATTCATATCTACTGGTTACTCTGAACGACGGCTTAAGATCGGGAGGAAGGAGCTGCACTTGACGCTGTTATTGTTGCTGCTGCAATTTGAACGAGAGTACTTGAGCGGACTTACGGTACTGGTGGGTGTTGTTTATGTCCCCGCACTCTGGCTACTAGTTTCACATAGTGGGATGTTCCAGACTGTTAAGGCAGAAAAAAGAGTAACCGTTTTTTATCTTTTTATATGCCATCCATTGTTTTCTGGTCCCTTGCCAGTTATCGGCGGAAATTTTCCTCTGTTTGGTTCTTGTTCTAGAAATTTGGTTTCCTCCGAAAATCCCCATTTGAAATGATAGAATGTGCTAGTCTTTAAAAAAATTCGTAAATCCTCTGAATCTAGAAACATTCCGATGCGGGATTGCGCTTGTATATAGTCATGCACCTCCAGGAGTTTCTTTACACGGGATTTTTCGGAAACAAACTGTTTCTAAGGCCAAATCTCAAGAAGGCTGTACTTCCTGTAAATTGACAGATTTTCTTTTCGGTCCTCTGTGTTGTCATTAGCTGACTTTATGCGAGCACTAACGCAAATGACAGGAACGCCCGCTAACCATGCAGCGAAGCGTTTTTGATTATGATTGTTACAGCTGACCGGAATAATCCCTTGTGGATAGGTAGCGTAGCGCCGTGAAATCTTTTCTCATATTTCTCATTATTGCTACCAGATTTAACGTCCTTCTTTGATCTCAAAGACACGTTGCGACTCAGTTTCAAAACCTACCGCACGTGCAGTGCGCCCCCAGTTTTTCAGACAATTCTAAACAGACAGGAGTATCGATTTTTTCGTTTTGTTTCTAGCGCCCCTTCATCGAATTGCCTGAACTGATTTTGGCGCCCCGGCAACCCCCCCTCACCTCCGAGACCTGGCAGAAGCATTTGGATCGTGAAGGTCGTGTGACCGTCATTCATAAGCTACAGGCTGAAATCTTCAATGGCGTATGTCTTTCACCCTTTCAAGAATTTGACTCCTCCTTCTCCCCTAGCACCACTTTTCATCTGTCTTTCCACTTTGTGTTCATAAGCACAGCCAGAGGCTCGGCGTAATCAGCTTGGCAGCCGGAATGTCGCACTCCAACTCATTGTGCACTGATCAGATGTAGTTTCATGCCCCGACTAGCGAAACAGCTGTGGCGCCACAGATCCCCTAAGCAGATAGTCTTTTCATGCTTTGCGAGCCAAATAATGGCCCTTCGATGCCGGTCAGCCCTGTTTTCCCTGACCAGATTTGCGGGATATTTATGGGTGTCAGCGGCTAGAAACCACTATCAAGATAAAATAGCCTGTTGTCTACACCTTGCACAGCATGGTCTATAGTTTATCGAGGAGACTATGGTCTCGCCGTGATGTCTGTTAGAGAAGAGGGACCCGAGTATGTAAGGCTTCAATCGAAACCGTCCTGTTTTGTAGCTTCGAAACTTGTTTCCTGGTGGGGGTGGTAACGACAGCGATTGTGGCTGACCGTGGTTGTGCTAACTGACCCGAGCGGGGCCTTGTCTCCATTTTATGGGTTACGAACCAGTAGCAACATCAGACTTATTGCCAACTGTTTTGTTGTTGATAACAACTATTGCACTTTCTCGGAGCCTCGTACTCGCTGCGTTTGCTGAGATCCTTGATGCGCTGGCCGCCTCCGTATAGTTCTGCCTATTTGAACGGCACCTCTTGTCGCTTTCGGATAATCAATTTAACTTATTTCTTTCCCAAGCCGGGCCGTAGTAGCCCAGAACCGTGTTGTCTGTTTTAAAGGATTGTGTTCGTTTCAGAATTGTGAACTCCTTGCTGACAGTAAATCGAATAAGCTGATCTCTCTTTTTGTATCTCTGCAGTCGGTGACAAATCTCATCAAATGTTAACCGAAATTCAGAAATGCGTTTTCGGTAAGGAAGGATTACTTAAGTAGGGGTGTAATATCGGTTATCATACAACATAATCTCAATATGTTTAAGTTGCTGCATGATGCCGGCTTTTGAATGCACTTCGTTTCAGCCGCTTGCGAAAACGGCGCTTGGTAAAAACTTACAACTTAAACAGTGGGGATTTTCCCATTGATTTTGCGGTCCACCTATAAATTATAATGTATTTTGTAGAAAACGAATTCTTGCACCCATTTTGCAGAATCTCACGTCTTCTGATTTTGTACCCAACGAAAGGTCTATTTAGGTTTTTTTAAAAAAGTCCCAGTTCACGAATACTTTTGAGCCCGATCTGCGCCGCATTTGTGCTTAGGGTTTACAACCTACAGGCTGTATACTTTCTATTTAAGGGAAATTGCAAACTCCTCCATGCCATTAAATAGATACCATACAGGTTTCATAAAAGTTTACAATGAATGTTGACTATATCGCGTAATTCATAAGTAGCATTATTATACGGACAGATACGATGCTATTTGAATAGACTTGCCACAGTCTTAAAAGATCTCATTTTTAAACCCGAGAGCTACCAATCTTCTGAGAATAAATTTTGGAGACGTGCTCGTCTACGAAATGAGTACAAGAAACAACATTTTGTACCTATTTCTGTAAACTATAACTGAATTTACAGGGACACCGAAAATCACTGGAGAAATTCATGCTACTTAAGTAATACTTCTTTACTGAATGGGGTTTTTACAGGCGGCAAAAGATCAGTGCATTAAATAGCCGGCATCCTGACGTGGGCAAAATATCTTGTAGTTTCGCCTTAGGATAATGAGCATTACAGCACCCCCTAATTAATACTTTTCAATTGAAAACCAGTCAGAATATCTGCTAACATCCCATGCGATAGGCCAGATACATTAAGTACTAGGCCATGAGTACCAGTAGAATTCGCCATAGTGCACGCTCATCACTAATTTCCATTGTCTGTGGAAACTTGCTTCGCTGAATATTGCTGCCTAAGTCCCAGGGCTTCATCCGCTCTGCTCAGCGACAGTGAGAAAATTAGCTTGATCGAGATCGTGACTGAGGATGGCGCCGCCACCCGCTTCCCAGACTATCCTACCTCTAGTCGATTGCCGGATTGGCAGTTTGCATGCCACGAACTGACCAAATCCTGTGCCTTCTGGTTCGTCAGACCGGTTGGTACATTGGATTTAGTTTACCGTGACTAGATAAAGGAAGGTAACACGCCTTTTTTCACGTGTGCTATATCAGCCTCATTGCAGTCACCTATCCGCTTACTGTGCTATAGAACCTGACTGCTCGCCTCCCCCCTCCCCCCTTACGTCCGACCCT